GCTGAAGTGGTTGCTAAGTTTCTCCATAAACATGATTTGGATCTCATATGTAGAGCTCATCAGGTATTGTCATTTTGTACTTTAAACCAGAGAATAGTTTAGGTTTGGAGGACCTGGTCCAGCCCTGCACACACATGCTCAGCCCGAGGTGCTGAGAGTCTTGTCCAGCCAAATTGTAAATATCTGTGAGGATCTCTGAATGTGTCCCAGTGTTTAACAGCCCTTGTAATGAACATTTTTCCTTAATGCATAAAAACTGTGACTCTCTTGAACAAGGGTTTTCTCAATGCTAGTGGACTCTGTTGCTGAACTGGTTCTTGTGATGTTCCTGTTTTGATGTAAAAGTTTGGAACTCATTCTCCTTAAACACAGCCAGTCTTTCAGCTGCTGCCTCTGGTAAAGCTGCTTTGCACCTTGGCAGGAGGAATCTGCCCAGAGTAACACTTCTGCTTTTCTCTCTAAAGGTGGTTGAAGATGGATACGAGTTTTTTGCAAAAAGGCAGTTGGTAACTCTCTTTTCTGCCCCAAATTACTGTGGAGAATTTGATAACGCGGGTGCCATGATGAGTGTGGATGAAACACTAATGTGCTCCTTCCAGGTACAGTAGCTAAACGTTTTTACCTCCTAGTTAGTGAGGTCACATGTTAAATTTGTGGAATTTTGCATCGATGCTTTATTGTTAAAAAACAATAATAGTTCCAAATAAGTCTTTACAGCTATCACATGTAGACAGGGGAGTGTTTGCAGTCACATCTTCAAAAATGTGATAAGCCTGTGCTGATGTGATTAGATGAACTGTTTTACCCTGGAATTAAATCACCCAGGCAAAGCTGTTGGCTGTCAGCCTGGTCCCACTAGTGTGGGCTCTGGGATCAGCTGCCACAAGCCCTGGCCTAGCTCAGAGCAGGAAACACAGGGAGTTCTGGGCACATTTAGACTTGTCCAGAAGACCCATATAACACCTTTGAGTGATTATTGAATTTGGAAATTTGACTGGAAAACAGCTAAAGCCTTTTGCTAAATAACCCCACTGTCTTTTCAGATCTTGAAACCTGCAGAGAAGAAGAAGCCCAATTCCAGCAGACCCGTAACACCTCCCAGGGGTATGATCACAAAACAAGCCAAGAAATAGTCACTTGGCTCTGCCTTGTTGGGACTTGTATCATAGTCTATAACCTCCATTTTTAAACCTGTCATGTTGTGCTGTTCAGCTTGCTCAAAATAGATAACGTGTTTGTGGTTTTCCTTTTCCATTTGATGAATGGCATTTGCTGGTTGTAACAGCGAATGAAAGACTTTCTCCCTCCCAGGAAAAGAGTTTCAAAGTCCCCTTTTTGTCGGTGTTAAAGCTGCACAGCTCCACAGCATCCCCTGCCAGCCGGGTAAGGCACGGCTGCTGGGACTGTACCATGAGTAGTGTAAATCTTGTTCTTTAGGATCTAAAGAGGGCACTCGTGTGCTGTGAGAGTAGAGATTTGTTCCTGTCAGCGATTACATACTGTTTATACAAACCACTGTGAACTTTTTTTTACGTTAAATTTTGTTTTAAAGGTTTGTTTTAAAGGGATTGCTTTTCTTTTACTGTCTTGTCTGTAGTTTTTATTGCTGTTGACATTAGGAATAACCTTCAACCTTGCCAGCATCACTGGTAGGATGTATATTTAATTCAGACACACGGTCCTCTCCTTATACTTCAAATGACAATTAAAGCCATTATTTTAAGTGTTTGTGTCTCTTTCCTGAAGCCAAAGTTTGCTTAGAAACCCGTTTGTACACGACCCCCCCGCCGAGTTGGCCGGGCTTCCCATCCACACCTTCCTCTCGGAGAGAAAAGGAAGTCCTGGCTGGAAATAGCACATAAACACTTGTCCATGCTCAGAGTGAACACATTTGTACAGTTTCCTTGTGTTCCATGGAGCAGATCATAGTGCTGAGACAGCAGTCCCAGGGCAGGGACAGAAATGGCTCAGGATCTGCTGGAAGGGGTTTGTGCATTTCAGCCTAAAGACTTTGTTCTACACAGAAACCCAGAAACTCGATAAGCCAACCAGAGGTGTTACTCTTGATCACCAGTTTATATAAATCTCTCACAGAATCTTGTTTTTTAAAAGCTGTTGATCTTTTTTGAACAGATGACAGTGTACAATACCATGTAGTGAAAATCACTTATTAAATGATGAAATTGTTAAATCTTCTCCGTGTTGGTTTATCACAACCCAGGCCCTGCTCTCCAAGGGCCTGATTTAGAGAAATAAATTGTTCTGGAAACCCACGGATTCTCGGTTTGGATTTGTCTGAGCTGCAAGAGGGGGGATTTTAAACAGCAGTGTTGGGTTTAGCTCTGGGTCCCCCCAGGGGGTGCAGCTCCCCCAGTGACAAGTGTTGGTGACAGCGGTTTCAGAGCTGGTGTTGTCACAGCCCGTGCTCGCGGCACCGCACACGGGCGTGGGAGGCCATGCTGGGCTCGTGTTCATTGTTGTGTGCACTGAGCAGGGCTGGCCTTGAACACAAGTGCTGCTCTGAGAGGAGGGGTAGAGCTGAGGACAAAATCATTTTCCTCTGGTTCGTAATTAGAGAACTGAGTTCTTGGTGAAATGGGGAACTTGGGTAAACTTTATTAGTGCTGGTGAGGGCCAGCTGCCACGGGTGGGTTGGTGTTGCTGGGTGAGGTGTGTGCCCAGAACAGCCTGGGTCCCTTATGGCCCTGTGGGAAATGCTGTGGGATGTTCAGCACTCAGAGGAGGCGGCTTGTTCACAGCACCACAACAGCTGCAGTGCTGCTGCATCCGCTGAGGAACAAGTTTGTCGTGGAATGCCCAGCTCGCATCCCCCACTGGCTCTGTCCTGCTGTCCCACCCAGTTCCCCTCCGTGTTTGGAGTGAGTGGGACTTTCTTGACACAAATACATGTTCTGGCCAGACCCCAGCCATCGATTTTATTTTTTAATGTTATTTCTCTGAATCAAAGAGCTGTTTTCCTGCTCTGAAGACCTTTTCCCCCTCCCTCTACAGCTAATTAATCAAAAACCTCTTGCTAACCATGATGAGCTCCTTTTATCAGGTGTCACAGATCACTTGTTAAGAGTTTCTCACAGACTTTCACCTTTTAAATCACACTTGTGGTTTCCTCTGGGGCTCTGTAATTTTTCTCCCTCCTTGTACAACGTCCTGTGGTCTGTTCCTGCTGTAGTGAGTTGGGCTGTGCCTGGTGGCCCCTCACTCCCCAGCCCTGCTGCACTGGCTGTGTCACACCTTTGTCCTCCATGACTTGTTTTCTCTCCTCAAAGGCAGTTTCGGTGACACAGGTGCCAATTCTGGGCTGTGTTCTCTGCCCAGCTGCATTCCCTGGGGGTGGGTCATGCACCTTGAGCTTCCTGGGGTGCAGGTGGAGGTGGACAGGTCCTGTCCCACTGCAGGGCTGGGAAGGGAAGGAGCTGCTGATCCCACTGCAGGTTGTGATCGACAGCTCAGGGGCGTGTTTTAGGCCCATTTGTTGGGGTTGGGTTGTTTAATCAGTGGAGGGACAGAAGGAGGAGTAGATGCTGATTCCTGATTTTTTTTCCATAACAATACAGGTAGCTGGAAATTGTGACAAACCCAAGTTCTCCTCAGTCCCCGTCTTGTGCTCTGGAAAGAGTGGTAAGATCTGAGGCGCTCCCTTGCTTTGGGTATCACTCAAGTGACGTTTCTCTAATTTCTTCAAAATAAAGAGTGTCCCCATTGCCATCCAGCTGTGGAAAGGCTGTTTTTCCACACAGGTCACCATTGCCTGTTCCTGGTTTGCTTTGGGATGTGTCAGGGCTGTTGTGGCTTTCAGCTTGGAGTCAAGTCAGGCTGGAGCACTCCAACAACAAAACATCCATTTTCCTTGCAGTGTTCAAACCTGTTCAGGTCCCCGGGGACACGGGGTGGGGGGTTTGGGCACATGTCCCTCATGGGGAAGCAGAAGCTGGTGGGGTTTTCTCCTTAAAATCCACAGTCCTTACCCAGAAGGGGATCAGATCTGCAGAGCTCTCAGGTGCAGATCTTCCACCATTGGCTGATTGTGTTGGTGTTTATTGGACTCAGCTGAGACCAAAATGCCCAAATTAGCTGGAAACCCCCAGGACAAACCTCCCTGCTGCGGCTCCAGGGCTGTGCCTTTGCTGTCCCACTCCTCTGCCCAGGTGAGCTCTGTAAGTGGGTGTTTTGGGGGGAGGGCTGAGGGATGGGGCATTTGGAGTCCCAGGAGGGTGTTACCTGTGTTCATTCCCCAGGGAGGAGGATGGGGATGGGCCTGTGCGCTCTGGGATGAGGTGCTAGAAAATACTTAGGTTCCAGGAAAAGTTTTAGGTGTTCTCTGGGAGGAAACCCTTTCCAAGAAGGGTCTTGGGGCTCTTAGAAGTGCAAAACTGGAGATATGTTTATTACTTGGAGAAAATCAGAAATATTTCTGATTTGTTGTAGCAGAGATGCCTCCGAGGTGGGTTCCTGGTGCTTTTCACAGCTGATGGTTTTTTCAGGACATTTCCAAAACAGCTTGGTTTTGGAAGCCAGAGGGGAACTCTAGACATGAAGAGGCCTCTGACCAAACAGGAGCCTATAAATGGAGGCAGATTAAACAAGGCCTGATTCCTGGGTTTTATATTTGTATAATCCCCGGACCTCCACCAACTTTGTGGGACTGATCTGTGTCCCTGCTCAGCAGCCACGCTCTGAGCTCGGCAGAGACTCGGGATTTAACTTCCCACCGTCCTGGATCTTTGCTCTCTGTGTCGGGCAGGGAAAAAAAAAAAAAGTTTAAAAACAGTGGAAAAAAAAAGTTTAAACTCCATCCGGCGGCTTCTCCTGTTCCGGCAGCTCCCGAACAGGGGGAAAAAGAAAAGCTGCGGAAAGGGGAAATGTCGGACGGGACCGCCGGGGATGGATGAGGGAAGCCTGAGGATGGATGGGGGACCCGGTGATGGATGGGGGGACCCGCTGGAGCCCCTCCGGGCGCGGTGGGAGGAGGCGGCGGGGCCGGGCTGGGGCCGCCCCTGTCCGGGGGAGGCGGGGCCGGTCCGCGGAGGCCCCGCGGCGGCGGCGGCTCAGGCACAGCCGGGACGAGCACGAACGGTACCGGGGACCGAGGGGAACGGGGCCGGGGGTAGCGGGGGGCGGCCGGGGCGTTCCCGGGGCTCGGCCCGGTGGGTGCCGGCCGGGGGTGGGGGGTTGCAGCGGGGGCCGCCACGTCCTTCCCCCGGGGTCCCGCCCCGCCCCAGGGCTCCGTCCCGCTCCGCCAGGCTGGGGATGGGGGAGGTCGGGGAGCCCCGGGGTCCGGGACGCTCCACCCGCCGGCGGCGGCTCCAGGCCCCGCGGCCGCCCCGCACGGGGCTGGGGGGCGATGCTTGGGGCCGCTCCCCGGGGGGCTCCGCTCGGTGCCTGGGGACGGAGAACGAAGGTGCTGCCCCTGTGGCGGCACCGAGGGACCATCTCCGTCCTCACGGCAGGTGACGGGGTGGCCGTAGCCCACCCGCCCTCCGGCACCACCGCCGCTGGGAGCGGAGCCCAGCGGGGGCCGAGGGCAGGGCGAGCAGCCCCGGAGCACGGGCTGGGCCGGGGGAGGTTGTGCTGAGCCCCCCGGGCGGCTCCGGGAAAGGACGGGAGCGGGGCGGGGATGGGGGTTGTGCTGGCGGCGGGAGCGCATCTCGGAGGGTTTGTGGGCCACACAGTCTCGCCGGGCTGCCCAAAGAGGAAGGAGAGCTGGGGCGGCTGCGATGGGAACACAGGAGCCTCTCCTAAAGCCCTTCAGCTCATCTGTGAGACCCCCGGGTCTTGCACTCCCAGCGAACTCGGTGTTTCATCCGTGTGGTTTGCATTGCTGGAGTGTGGCCTTAATGATTAGGAATTGGGTTTAGTGGTCTTGCCCCTCACAGGGTGTCCACAGGGATGGGCTGAAACTGGGATGCCCAAGGGTGAGGTCGACTCTGGAGGATGCAGGGAGAGGAGATGGGGAGGTCAGTGTCACCCACTGGCCAGGTTGAAACGTGGGGATCACCTGCTTCATTTACCTGCAAAGGCTGAAATAACAGGGGTCCCTGATGTTAATGACGGGAAACCATGGCTGTTCTTCCCCTTGGCTTCTGATCAGCAGCCTCCGTGGATCAGTGTCCAACAGAAACACAAGGGCAGCTGCCTCCACCTGCATCACAAGGTGTCAGATAAGGGCTGGTGCTTTTTTGCTCCTGTAATCGATGCTTTGTTTGGAGAAGTTTGGAAAAAACTCGCGAGGAAGTTCCTCGTTGTGGAGCAGCAGATGGGGCACAAACAGGGCTGGGGAGGGCGGCGGGGGCTCCTCGTGGTGCTGGGGGAGGGGGACGTGATGCAAAACCTGCGGTCCCAGCGTTTAGCAACTTCCCGTCAGCTGGGCCTGTCACGGTCCTGTCCCCTCCCTGGGGTGAAACCGGGAGATTTGGCAGCTTTGGTCTGCCCTGAGCGGGGAGGTGACGCTCTGCTCTTGTCCCTCAGTTGGCAGGGTGATGCCAGCTTGACCCAGAGCCATGTCCAAGTACCTGAAGCACTTCACGGTGGTGGGCGATGACCCCGTGCAGTGGAGCAACGACTACCAGAAATGGGAGGAGGAGGAGGACAATGGGGACAAGCAGCCGGACTCGGAGATCAAGGTGGAGCCCGCCAGGAGACAGATCTCCTTCCAGTACATGATGAAAAAGCTCTTCAGCTCCCACAGGTTTCAGGTGAGGCAGAACAAGCCCAGGCCAAGGGCGGGTGTGGGATGGAGCTCAGGGAGCGGGGCTGAGCTCGTGAGCCGTCAGCTGAGCTGTGCTGTGGGAGCTGAGCTGAGCTGCTCCCGTGGGTGCAGGTGTTTCCTGAGCGGGGACAGGCCCCGGTGCCTCTGGGTCACTGCAGCACCAGCACGTGCTCCCCCTGTCTCGAGCTCCCCACATCAAGGGCTGGGAGGTGGTTGGGTTTATGGGGAGCCAAGTGGTTTCATGGGGGTGAGACTTCACAGGAATAACCCACCATCCAGGGGGAGTGGGAGCAATGGAAAGCTCCATGAAACACAACCAGCTAAATCAGGGCTGTGGGTGTTGGGGTGTGTTCAGCTGTAAGGGCCACAATGGCTCCTCTTGTGATCTGTCTGTGCTGGGAGGGGATTCATGTTGGTTCTTCTCTGACAGATCGGGGTTGTCTGGCTGGTGATCCTGGATGCCTTGTTGGTTCTTGGGGAATTGCTCATGGACTTGAAAATCATCCATCCGGACAAATATAACATAACCCCAAAGGTAGAGTGTGGGGAAATGTCACCATGAACAGTGATTTCCCTCCCTTTGGTGGCTCAGAGCCTCCCCTGGATAGGCTGGCTGGGCAAGGCAGGACCTGGAGCTCCAGCCCTGCCGACCTGATGGTCCCCACACACAAAGGAGGGGCTCACAGGGGTGTGTGGGGCTGACCTGGCTCAGCTCACGCCAGTCTCTGCAGCAGCTTCAGGTTTCCTTGGGCTGCAGCAGAGCTGGATCACTCCCACCACCCTCCTCCTGCTCCTCTTCACAGCTCCTGGACCAGTTCCCCAGCACCACAGGCTGCCACATACTCTATCCTTTAGAGCACAAGTCCCCAGCCCTTCTCCCTGTAGAGCCCAACCAGACGTGCCCTCAAGCAGTGGAGGTTTTCCATCCTGCCCTGCTCGTGTGCACACAGGGGGGTTTCCTGCTTCCTACCTTCAACTTGTGCTGCCTTTTCCCAGGTTTTCCACTACCTCTCCCTGTCCATTTTAACCATCTTCCTGGTCGAGGTGGGGTTCAAGGTGTTCGTGTATCGCCGCGAGTTCTTCCACCACAAGTTCGAGGTGCTGGACGGGGTGGTCGTGGTCGTGTCCTTCGTGCTCGACGTCGTCCTCATCTTCCGGGAGCACGAGTTCGAGGCCGTGGGGCTCCTGATCCTGCTGCGGCTCTGGAGGGTGGCCCGGATCATCAACGGTGGGTGAGGGGGTGTCCTGGGCCAGGGGCTGGATTTGTCACCTCCCCTGAATTACCTGGGCTCGTGTCTTTGTTCTCTCCTCACACCCATCTGTGAGACCCCTGATCTTGGCCTCCCAGTTAACTTGGAGTTCCACCCCTGTGGTTTTCCTTGCTGGAGTGTGGCCAGAGTCAGGCTGCAATTTCTTTGGAGCAGGGACAGACATTCCCCCTAAAAAGCACCATAATCTATTCCTCTTCACACCTCCTGGACCAGTTTCCCAGCATCACTGCCTGCCACACACTCTGGCTGTCCATCCTCGAGAATGATGGCTCACATCCTAAGTTTCCACTGTAGGATCCTTCTGGCAATATTTTAACAGGGGCTTCTACAGCAGAGTAGGATTTAATGCTCTGTTCTGTTGCTACTCCTCCATCCCCTCCAGGGATGCTGCAGGAAACATCCTTGTCTCACCCTGGATCTTTCTTGCTTGGATTCAAAGGTTTTACCATAAAAAGAGAAATAGAAAAAAGAATAGAAATCAGACTTAAGTGACTTTGCTGTGGAAATTGTAAATTGTTGCAAATAGGTGTTAATTCAGAGTATAGCTGGAAACACTTTCTTCCTTCTTGGGGAAGGAATTTTGGGATTCCAAAAAATGTAGTAATGAGATTATCTCTAATTCCTGCGTGAAACCTCAGCCCAACTGCTGTCCTGTGCCTCCAGCTCAGGTTTGGTGAGTGCTCTGCATTTGGCACAGAGGGATCAGAGGAGGGGATGGCTGGGGCTGTGTCTGTTTTCAGCCCTCACTGCCCTTTGGATGGGGAGAACGTGCCTGGTCAGCAGCAGCCGGAGGGAGGGAGGATGTGAGAGCAGCTTGTGGCTTCTCTCAGTTCAGAGTGAAAGTCAGAGAGAAACTGGATTTGCCTGCAGCCCTGGGAGCCATGGGCTCTTACAGCAGAAAACAGGGTTGCTGTTACAAGAAAATCCCCTTATCCTTGGCTGCTCCTGGTTTCCCCACCAGTTTTTTGCACTTGCTGGAGGAACAGAGGGAACAAAGGGAACGTGCCCCATGCTCAGGTGCCGTGTCTGTGCCTGGCATGGTTCAGTGCCCCTGACAGGGACTGGGTTACACCAGCTGGGGACTGGTTGATGTTAGCAATGCAAATAATGCTTTGTCCTCTGAGCAATGAACCCCAAAACCCCAAACCTGCTGCCTGCAGCACGAGAACCAGACACCCCTCAGTGCCTCCTGCGCGTTGTTCCGGAGGAGCCGTGTCGGGGAGGAGGAACGGGATGTTCTTCGTGCTCCCACCAGGCTGATTTATTTTTTCCCCCCTCAGAAAAGGATGGCAAGAAAAAGCCTTTAGTGTGGGGGCTGAGTTCACGTGTCCTCACCTAATGGTGCTTGTAGAGAAGTGACACCTCTGCCGTGGTGAGATGTGGCGTGTCCTTAGTGCAGCTGGGCAAGGTGAAGCCAAAACCTGGTGGATCTGAGGATGTGCCATGTCCTGTTCCACTGGGTTAAGCCATGTCCTGATCCATTGGGATGTTCCATGTCCTGTTCCCCCAGGCCACAGCAATCAGCTCCAGGGCACGAGCCCCAGGCTGTGCCCTGCTGTCAGAGCAGGTCCTGACTACACCTAAAACCTGCTAAAACACAGCAAAGCTTCCAGCTCCATCCCCCCCAGGCTCTGCCAAGGGAGTACATTCAAATCCAGGATTTGAGTGACAGTCTGAGTGATTAATTCAGCTCTGCCTCTTCCCAGCAGAGTATCCCTATCCGAATCCCTCGGGTGGCTGATTTAAAACCCTCCTCATTAAGAAAAGCACTTGGGAAGGGTGGTTGGAAGATGACAGAACCTAAACTGGAGAGGAACGTGTTTAACTCCTTGAGCACAGACCCTGTGTCCTGTTAATTCTGCTCGTGGCTGTTTTACAATGTAAAGCAAATCCCCTGGGAATTGTTCCACAGGAATAATTTTATCGGTGAAGACCCGCTCGGAACAACAAGTGTCCAAGTTAAAACAAGCCAACCTGAAACTTGCAACAAGGCTGGAACAACTGGAACACAGCTGTGTAGAGAAGGTAAAAAGCCACTTTTAATTTGGGTTTACCTGCCTGGGATCCTTGTGCAAGGCTGGCACTGTTGGAATGGTTTCCTCACTGGAAAGTGTGGGGTGCCCTACCCAAGTTCCCTGAGCTGCTCCTTCTCCAAAGTGATGTTTCCCTCTGTCCTACTTCCTTTAGCCAGGTTGTCCTGCTTTCCTGCAGCAGTGGGAAGATCTGTGGGAACCTGAGGAGCTATTTTAAGGATATTAATGATTTAGCTTTTTGTCTCCTACAGGAGCAAGAAATTGAGAGGCTGAACAACATCTTAAAGCAGCATGGACTCCTCAGCCAGCCAAAGTAGGAGGCCAGTTTTCCAAGGTGGGAATTCTGCCTGGAGAGTGCAGTGTTGGAATCCACCAGCTTGACCTGAAAGGTTTTTCTGTCTCTTTACTTCCTCTTGCATTGTGTTGTCTATAAACATTTTCTATTTGGCCACACTTTGATCAGACCTTGAGACTGCAAAAAGAGTTTTGCTGGAAAATTAATCACACACAGTCCCTGTAAACAGCAATTTTTTTCCCCTTTCTTGTACAGTTGTACAGTCAAAATTGCAAAATAATTTAATAAAGACATCTTTACAAGCTACACACCCGTAGAAGTACCACTTATTTAAAATAATTTCATTTTTTCTGTGATAATGTTCTTTGTTTGCAACATCTTGTAGAACTTGCAGTAGAAATGATAAGAACTCAGGCTTGAAAAGATCTTTTCTCGTCCACCAGCTGGCTGCTCATCATCAATACATCTCTTTGCCAACCATTCTCCTCATATTGTTGGTAGTTTCCTCATTTCTGTTGCTGCTTGTGCCACTTTGTTATTTATATAACATTTGTTTCAAAACCACCAACAGGCCGCTCCTTCCCTTGACAATCAAATCAGCCCCAAAATAGAGACAAACATGTGCCACCCCACGTCAGACAGAGCCTTGTTCCACCAGCAGGTCCCAGGTCTGATACTGCATTTTCTCATCCCTTCTTCCCTTTTCAGTTCACTGGGCTACAAAGTTCTTTGTTTCCACAGCTCATAAATCAAGGTGTTAAAAGAACTGGAATATGTCAGAACAGATGTAGGTGAGTGGAACTGCTGGGAACAGTCAGGCTCCAGAAAAGCCATTAAAAAGGAAATTCTAAAGGACCAGGCTGGTGTTCAAGCACAACATGAGCATTTGCAGGTACTGGAAGGTCCCCATGGAGACACTATTTGATAGTTGGAGAGTCAGATTCGATGAGTGGGAATTCTGAAAGGTGTCTCCAATGGATTTTAGCCAGACTCAGCTGGAAGGGTCCTTGAGTTTTGCTCAAAGCATAACTGAACTGTTCAGATTTTTAAAGAAAGGTAATTAATTAGTGGTGTGGGGGAAATAGCCAGAAATACGTGGCTTATTCAGGTATGGGGGTAGACAAAGCAGAGGCCTTATCTAATAGCACATGATTGCTTTAATTAGCAATTCAGCTCTGCTGTTATGGGATAATGAAGCCTGGTTTCCTTTGGAGCTGTGCTGGGTCCCTTCCCCTCCTGCCCCCACAGGCAGGGAGCTGGGAAGGGATCTGATGTGCTGGAAAGCTGGTGGCTGCACATGTGCTGACCAGCAAGTTCATATCTGGACCCTTTTTCCTCTCAGTGAGTTATAATTTGGAACTTTCCACTTAATGTGGGTTTTTTTAACCCTTCTGAGAACCCTCACAAGGTCTCACCCCTTCTCTCTTGGCTGATTTTAGCCCAGTTTATCTACAATTTAGATGAAACTCATGGCCCATCACAGTGACTGGATAAACCTTGGATGGAAGATCAGGAAAAGCAGAAATGTGGGGGTTTTTTAATGAATGCTTACCTTAGACAAATGGATAGAAAAAATCAAAGGGTAACTTGATGTTAATGGTGGGCCAAGCCTTATAGCCTGGCTCTGCAGGTGAGGAAATGTCAGTGAAAACAACAGAACTTGTTATAGGAATAGTCCTTTCCCTTCCTGAGGGAAGCTGCAATGAAAATACAAACAGGAATTAGCTTCAGCCTTCTGTTTGTATGACTGGTTTATTTGGGTTATTTGGTCTGGGTTACATTTTCACCTGTCACTTGTAAATTTTTTTTTCCATATACGGTCCCATGTTTCTTTTCATTAATGATGTATGGATTTTTATTGAAGGGTTTTGGCAAGCAGCCACAGCTGTGTTTGAGCTGGAGGAGAACTGTTGGGTGGAATAAATGTGAAGTGCTGCCTTCAGATAAAGAGATTATCTGGGTCACTGGCACACAGGAAAACAAGCCCTTTGTTTTATCTTAAACCCTGTAATTTAATTACATACCTGCTTCAGTGTGGTGGTGGTGAGTGTTGCTGTAACATTCACTATCCTGGCTTGGGGATTGACCAGGGATCCATATTTAGTCCACTTCACTTCTATTCCAAAGGACACTGGAATTTGGCACGAGCTCTGCAAAGTGTTAGAAATCCTCTCATTGTCTGACTTACACAAAAGCCACTTCATTAATTAATTATTCTTCTTATTAAGGGGCAGGGTGACCCAAGAAGCTCTCTGGGGAGGCAGCAGAGGTGCTGCAGCCTTTGCTGTCCCTGCAGATTCTCCATAGAAGTGACTCTGTACCTGCATTTCAGCAGGACTGTCCTACCTCAGGCAGGATTTGGCTCTTGGTGATTGTGCTCAGCTGGGACAAAGTAGGAACACTGGTGGGACAGCAGAAAATCCTGGACTCTGCCAGGGCAGAATTTTGAAGCCAACAAGCTGAACTATTTTTAGGCATTTCTTCTTGAACTGTCACGTTTCTGGTGACAGAAATTACTCACTCTTTGGTTGCAAAAGCATTCAAGGCACCTGTACACAAAGTGTCATCTCCTATTGTGCTTCAAAGGATTCTTGTTCTCTTACCCTGACCTGGTGCAAGAGGAGAAACAGTGATTCTGTTACTTCACTCTTTCAACCTCACCTCTGGTGCTTCATCCCCTCTGAAGAGCAGGACTAAACTATGGCTAGAAGTCATTTTGCACCCAATATGTTGTCCTGAGCCATAAGAGGGTAGCAGCTTGATTCAAAATAAACCCTGTCTTCTACAGCAAGAGTGAAACTCCTCCTTTGTGAATATTCCAGGAATTTCCTCCAGTTTGTTTCTGCATTTTTTCCCTCCCATATTTTTTCTTCTAACTGGTTGCTGCATTTTTAGGCTGGGAAGGTTGAGCTGGTGCTGCATTACAGGTGCAGAGGAGAGAGGACAGTGAGAGTGAAGGTGGAGGGTGGTGTGACTTTTCACCTGTTCTGAGATGTGGAGGTGAGTTATTGGCACCCAGTCAAGCACATCCTGGGCTTGGGAATTCCCAAATGAGGCCACATACTCAGGAAAGTTTTGGCCCTTCAGTACATCCAGGAGGGTCTGAGCCAAAGGCTGGCATTTCATAGCTGCTGTAATTCTTCCAGAAAACAAAACAAAACAAAAAAAAAGAGATGAGTTACAGCAAAATCCATTGGTTTGGCACAGGCATCATTTCTCCTGCTCCCATGCTCTGTTCAAGCCTTCTGGCTACAGTTGCTAATGCCCACAATCTTTTCAAGGGAAAGACCATTGTTAATTAAATGCCATTTTTTAGAATTAAATACTCCATTCCCAATACTCCTCCAGCTGTAGGACCAGCCAGGACCTGAACAGAGCCTGAGGGAAAAGGTTGTCAGAGGGTTAAAAGCACTAAATTAAAAATAAAGATTAGTTCTTACCGTAACTTACAGCCTGAGATCATGTTATAACCAAATAACACGGGGGCTCTGGCTCCCTGTGCTGCCAGGCAGTCCTGGGTGGATGTGCTCTGCAGGATGGAGAGCTGGCTGTGTTTGTTGGTGCTCTGAGTGATGCCAAATGTAACACACAGTTAAGGGGAAATTCAGCACTTCATGTGTTTCAGGACAAAAAAAGAATCCTTAATCATATCCTTAAAATACATCTGAAAGTGCTGTAATAGCTCCAGACTCCTCTCACAGTGTGAAGCTCCAGGATGTGCAATGAAGGTCTAAATCCACTCACTACACAGTCCCAGGAGATTGCAGTCAGGACTGAGTCATTCCCTTCTAAAACACAGCCAGAAAAGCACTCTTTTATACAGATATATTTTACAGATGTCCAGGCTAGAAAGGGTTTGTGAAGATGGACCAGAGCAAGTGCTGCAAACAGAAATTCAGCAGGGAAAGGATATCCTTGAGGCCAGAATCCTGCTCTCACAGGTAGCCCAACAACATAACCAGGATTGCCACTGAGAGGAACTGGCTTTGTGTCTACCTGTAATGCAAACACACAGGATTAGATCCTACCTTGCACTGAAAGGGCTGGAAAACACAGAAATATTTCAGTTATTTTAGGATTATTTATTGCCTGGAATGATTAGTAAGGCTGTAAGTCAGACTTTGCTTTCTCTGGATACAGAGCCACAAGATGGGGCCTGTAAATGTGACACTTTGGAGGCCTTTACTGCCCAGCTCTGAAATGCTGCCTCCTCTGTGTATCCAGGGCAAGTCATACTTCACCTTGCTGCTCACAATTGTTCTGATTCAAGTTTAATAAGTTTTGTAATTAAATGTCTCTCAACAAGTCACCCATGACATCTCCACAGTTACCTGAGTGAAGCTGATTTGGAAGCTCTGCTGGATTGAAAGTGCTTCTTTGGTAATTGCCCCCAAGACAAAAGCAGCAGCTGCTTCTATTATTTCTCCTGTGTCTGTGTAGGTAATGTGATAACTCACCTGAAAATTAAACATTTTAGATGTTCATTTGAATAAATGCATAAGAGAAACTGGGGGGGGGGAATGAAGCTAAAATTATTCAAGTGTTTTATTTCTTCCTCGCTTAAGAAACTCTGAACTACAGAGTGGGGATATATTATATCCTCTAGAGCTTCTTCAAAACTGACTTCTTTAAGCATAAACACAATGTTCATCTACTTAAGGTTAAAAAATGAGATGATGTGCAACATCTATTCCTCTCTCTGTGCCATCAGTGTGCCTGAAATCATCTTCTCCCAAGCATAAAGCAGATTCTACACTCATGTTATTGTCTGTTTTGTCATATACACACAGTAATGACAGACAAGGATTTCAACCTTTCAAGGATTTCTCCGTGTTATGTTGCATATAGTTATTATTTTGTTGCAAAACACTCTCTTTTATCCCAAACTCGGTGTCTCTCCTGTGACATTTGCTTTGGGGATGTCACAATCCATGGGAACTTCAAGGCCTTCCTGACAGCTTTGCAATTTGTGCATCAGGAGTGATTTGCTGCAAAGATTCCTCCCATCAAACACCAACAAGGGCTGTCAGACCTACCCCAAGGACTATATTTAAGCACAGTTCCTCCAAAATCATGGGGAGCCTCAGGACATCAGCACTCTTCAGTAAAGTCTTCATTCCATCCAGGGACTGGACAACTATGGACTGGACAGAAATATTAACCTGGAAAACAAACTCAGGTCAGTTCTGAATATGGGTATAATTAATTTTGGCTCTTTCTGTGTTATTGTATTCATGACCCTTCCTGGTTCAGTAATTCTCTGAACAATTCCTGTGTTACACATACTGCAGAAGCTCAACCAAAGGGT